TTTATTTTTTGCGCGAAAGCGAAATCATTATGTGGTTTTATTCGGATCTAGTGCGCGCGAGTGTTAAGTATTAATTGCAAAATATTAATCACATTCATTCAGGGTTTTAATCGTGCGACGGACGCATGATAATCATACAGATGTGTGCGAGGCGCTCATCGCGGAGTAATTAACAGACGCGCGGAGATAATTGACATGTGTGCGCATGCGCAATTTACTTAAGAGTAAATCAATGTCGCAAATTGTAAAAAATGAGATTTTATGCATTTTTTAATGAAAAAAATGTTTAATAAATAATTTTTTAAGTTTTTTTCTTCTGCAAGTCATAAAATTATTGTTTTTTTGTTGATATAACAGAAAATTAAAAATTTTACGACGCAGAATCGTTTAGTTTTCAATCAGGTGTTCACTGCACTTGATGCACAACTCGTTTACCGCGAAAAATTGCACAGAAAATTGATTCAAACTAAGTGGCACGATGAAATCACCCGAAGAATGTATGATCAGGTTACATAAAAACTGATTTATCGCCTGAAATTGCCGGATTCACGCGAAAAAAATTATTAATCTTCATCGACGTCAATAAAACTTCCTTTCTCGTAGATTTTTGTATCTTTTGTTTTAAATTACGATAAAATGTAAATCGAAATTAATTTCGGATTAATTAAATTTACAAAATGCGAAATATTGCCAGTGAAAAAATGCGTATTAATCATGTTAAATGTTTATTAATTTGTCGCCGCCGGCGGTGATTAATTGATAACGACGCTAATTAATAATCCGCGACTGTAATCATGCGTGGATTCTCTGAGTGGAGATGTTTAATAAAATAGATGCGACCGGCCACACCGTCACCAATGTGCGCGTATGCAAATTGTCGCTGAAAAATCGTCGCGATTAATCACTCGCACGGTTCATATCACACGCTAATGCCCCGAGAGGGGATCGCCGATGTGCCGATCTGTAATTATAATGCATGCTCGTTATAATTATAATTACGATACAAAAAGTGCTATAAGGAATATTTGCGTTTTTTTAGTCTTTGCGATATTATGCGACGTTTAAAATAGATAGAATATTATTGTATAGGCAAAAAATGTTTAATAAAATCGATATATCTCATAAACTAATAAAGATAAAAAGATGATCTTTATGTTGTATGATAGTGTTTTATAAGCACTATAATAGGAATTTTGCTTTATTATACTGGGTATTTTAGTTTGGTAGTTATTTAAAGGAAATTAAAAAAAATTGCTAATTTTTACTTAAAAATCGCGAATATCTCGAAAACTAAAAGAGATAAAAGTGTTTTTGTAGGGTACTATAGAGATTTGTAAATACTATTATACAAAATTTATTTGAATATACTGAGTGTTTTAGTTTAGTAGTAATTTGAAAAAAACTCAAAAATTGGTAAATTTTTACTTAAAATTAGTCAATATTTCAAGAACTAAAAGTGATAAGAAAATTATTTTTAAGAAATATGATAGAGTTTTAAAAACTCTATAAAACAAAATTTATTCCAATATACAGAGTGTTTTACTTCATCCGTAATTTAAAGAAAACCTATTAAATTTTCCCTTTTTTTGCAAAAAATGAACCAAATTCATCAAAAAATGTAAATATGCTTTGATTGACTCTAAATTACTAATAATAATACGTTTATTTACTCACACGTCACTCGTTAGTGTGCTGCATATTTAAATACAATGCATTAAGCTATCACTCTTAAATAAGACTTCAGCTACTTTGCCTACGATGTTTTTGACGTTTGCAGCTTTTCGCGAATAAAACTGCATAAACAAACACTAGGCAAGGCAAACCAAGCCAAGGTAGTATGCAAGTAAGACGAAACAGCATCATGCGATTTCAGCAAGATTACTAAGGTGGTACTCGCAGCACATGCATGCGTGCTCGCGGCGACGTCGGCCCAAACAAGATGCGCGAGAGTAAATATAAGCGAACATCAAAAAAACTTCGACTCCACTTCAACATGACTTGTCATTTACGAAGTTGATAATACGGTCAATTAGCGTTTCCGCCCATTGCACACATAAATAAAATATTAAACCACATAATAATTGCATTATATATGACCGATATTCGTAATAAAAAACGGTGAAAAAGGTTTATTTTTGGTAAAATTTCAAAGAAAATTAAGAAAAATTAAAAAATTTGATTAAAATCAATATATCTCCGAAACTAATAGAGATAAAATAGTGATTTTTGTATTGCATGATACAGTTTTACAAGCGCTATAATATAGATTTTGTTTAAATATACTGAGTGTTTTAGTTTAGTTATAATTTGAAAAAAAACTAAAAAAATGCAAATTTTTTAAATCAAAAATCATCAATATCTCTAAAACTAAAAATGATAGAAGAATTATTTTTAAACCATAGGATAGAGTTTCAAAAAGACTATTTAACATAAATTAATTCAATATACTGAGTGTTTTAGTTTATGAAAAATTTTTAAAAACTAAAAAATCGGTTAATTTTTCTTAAAAAATCAGCGATATCTCCAAAACTAAAAGTGATAATGCAATAATTTTTACGGTATATTATAGAGAATTTAAAAGACTATCAAACTAAATTTATTCCAATACTCTAAGTTTTATAAAACTTCTAAAAATTTAAATTATTGTCAAAAAAATCACAAAAAAAAGTTTCTTTTATTCCCCCAGATAAAATTCATGCATTTTCTCCATTGCGTGAGTATTATACGATTTTCTGACACATGCAATACCAAAATATTTTATTGCACAAAATATTCACAACCAATTCACACGCAAATATAAACTACCTGAGTGTGATGAATGCCGCGCCGCCATTTTGTGGCATTTTCAATTGGTTTTGTTGTGTTTGCGTTGTGCAAGTTGCACATTGCGCGCTTATTTATTGTAAGCGAGACGATTGTCGGTAGGTATATCGGCGTCGGGTGCGCGCGCGTGTGGATGATATTCAAATGATATAATTACGGACGTGTGCCGAGTCGCGGCATGAGGGTACAGGTGATAATGCACATCGCACGCTTCAGCCACGCCGCCGCGCGTCCCGCCTATTTCACCTAGACACATTTTCTAGTCGCCGGCACACGCGCGCCATTTACACACGGTCTTTATTCTTTATGTAACTACTCATCACGGTAATTACAAACGAAACCAGCTTGCGAAACCTACATCACAAACGGTACATTTTTGTTTGTTTTCGGAGCAAAAAAAACGCTTTTTCATTATTTATATTCATTAAATTTATGATTAAACTATATAATTTTAATTGAACACACACTTGGCCCTCGTGGACCAATTAAAACACGCAAGCTGCGTCGCTTGTCTAACCGTTATTGATTCCCGCGCGCGCAGAGAGCGCAGAAAGCAGGTTATGATTGGAATTGCATTAGCCAATATAGCGTAATAAAAATCAAGAGCCGCGCGGCCGTTTAATTGGTGGCGAGTGAATTTTAATGAAGATAAAATAGGCAAAAAGTTTGATGATTTGTGGAGACAACCGCTAGGCGTACTTTTACACTTGCACTTGAATGTAATTATTACAAAACGAAAAACTAAATGAAAATGAAGATTCTATTATTTTTTTCGGGAGGAAAAAAAGCACAAAAACAGTTATTGCATTCTCATACATATAGTTGTAAATCATTGCAATTGTAATTAATAATTTTTATATTCGTTGAACATGTTGTAAATAATATGCGCTGGTACATCACTGTTCTAAGTTCTTTGAAGATGAAAGAAATTAATAGGAAGAGTAAACGTAAGTGAGTACTTAGCTACGATTCGAAATTATGATTCAATGCGTGTGGGCCATGGTGAAGAAGTGTGATTTGTGTGAAGTGGCAATCGCGCCCGGAGGGAAACAAGAAGAAGATGGTTTCGGAAGGAGGCGCGCCGTATGCGGATATAAATTTAAATGTGAAAGGTGCTGCTTTATTAGGTTATGGGTTATGGACGTATCTCTAGGGTTAGTTTCAGATTCTTCGGCGGGTCTAAATTGGTTCAATTACACAGGACTACCGACTGGTAACCTATTATTACCAAAGGGTATTCAAAACCAACAAGTGAAAAACAAACAAGAAAAAAATTTGAAGTTGATCTAGCTCATAATTGCTAGAAATAAAAATATTTTTCGTCGTTGAGTAGATGTAAAACTACTCAAAAATGAGCAAATTTTGCATATAAATTCATGTATAACTCGAAAACTAAAAGTGATAAAACAATTATTTTTAAGTAGATAATAGAGATTTGTAAATACTATTAAACAAAATTAATTTCAATATACAGGGTGTTTTAGTTCAGCCGCAATTTAAAGAAAACCAAATTAATTTTTGTCATTTTTGTGCAAAAAATCAAACAAATTCATCAAAAATGTAAATATGCTTTGATTGACTCTAAATAACCAATAATAATATGTTAATTTACTCACACGTCACCATTTATTATGATATAATGCATTGCTTTCCAGCTATCTAGCTATCTAATAAATAAATTTTATTTTTATGGTGATGATCACTTTAATCGCAAAATTAAATATTCATTTTCTTGCAAATAAATTCCCACTGACTACTTTTATCAAACTCAAAAATCTTAAACCCTTAATCTGCGAATGATTGATTCGCCGCGCGGCGTTGTTTACACATTAATCAGATTAATCACGAGGTGAATTAATCACGCAACATACCAAGTGTTCACAGCCTCAATTCACATCTCCGCCGCTCTTATAGTAAAGACGTTCCCCTGGGCGAAATGTTACACTTCGTCGCGTCCAATTACGATCAAATGTGTCACTCCTGTCACGACAATCAAGTGCCCCGCCGTAGCGGCATCCATTATATATCGTACTCGTATACATACACAAGATGCACCAAGATGCATCCGAGAAGAGGAGAGTGAGTAGTGAGGTGGGTAATTGTAACGAAAGTGAAGTGCAAGTGCGCGCACCACATCAAAGCGTGCCTTGCGCCTGACATTGACATTGACACATTAAAAGTGTAATAATAACGTACACGCAGACATCGCGAACGCCAAACGGCAGCCGGGGTGCCACCGCAAGTGCAAGCAGAGAAGAATTGCGCGTGGTGAACCACAAGAAGTGCAAAAAGAACCCGAAAACAAGCAACAACTTGAAGTGAGTAAGCAGCAGTAAGATGTAAATAAATAATACTGGGTGTTACGGAATATTTATCTCCATATAAATTAATTTAAACTTAAAAAACTTAAAATTTAATTATTTTATGCGTGATTTAATTTGTTTTACGCTCTGTATATTAATTTTAATCATGTGAAATTTTTTTTCCAAGTTAGATTTGACGTCGACAGCCGACAGGATTGGATACGTTCACAGTCGGTGTCGGTGTAACTGAATCAACGAAATACTTGTCTTCAGAAAAGGTTGAAGTTCAACGCCGAGAAGAACAAGAACAAGTTGCAGTAGTCGCGCGCAAAAAAACGCAGAGCGCTTGGAATAAATGTTTCAATTACGTATGACTGGGCCGCCGGTGGCGTTCGTTACCTTCGTGGGCGTCCTCGGTGTGTGTTACATTGGCCTTCCGCTAATTAGAGCCTACACTAACCCAAACAAACCAAAAACAGCGACCAGCGGATTATAGAATATGGAAGATTGGACCATTCTCTATTCGCTAGGAATTTAAAATTATTTAATTTCAAAGAGTAAAGGGTCGAAAAATGCGACTAAAAGTGCTAAAAAGTGACATTTTTCAATTTTTGACCATTTTCTTTAATTGTGAATATCTCGTAAACTAAAAGAGATAGGAAGGCCAAATCGTAGATTCTTAATCTACGAAACATTCTCTACAAGATAGACTAGTTAAAATCGAAATCTGAGAGATGAAATTTTGAGTCATAAGAAAAAAATGGGCAAGGGGGGGTGCTTGATACTTTTTTTCGACGATTTTCAAAAATGCATATCTCTTAAACTAAAAGAGATAGCAACCAGCGGATTGTAGATTACGGTAGAATGAATCATTCTCTATCAGATAAAAATATAAAATAATTATATTTCCAACAGGAAAAGGTCGAAAAACGCGACTAAAAGTGCTAAAAAGTGACATTTTTCAATTTTTGACCATTTTCTTCAAATGTGAATATCTCGTAAACTAAAATAGATAGGAAGGCCAAATCGTAGATTCTTAATCAACGAAACATTCTCTACAAGATAGACTAGTTAAAATCGAAATCTGAGAGATGAAATTTTGAGTCATAAGAAAAAAATGGGCAAGGGGGGGTGCTTGATACTTTTTTTCGACGATTTTCAAAAATTCATATCTCTTAAACTAAAAGAGATAGCAACCAGCGGATTGTAGAATACGGTAGAATGAATCATTCTCTATCAGATAAAAATATAAAATAATTATATTTCCAACAGGAAATGGTCGAAAAACGCGACTAAAACTGCTAAAAAGTAACATTTTTCAATTTTTGACCATTTTCTTCAAATGCGAATATCTCGTAAACTAAAATAGATAGGAAGGCCAAATCGTAGATTCTTAATCTACGAAACATTCTCTACAAGATAGACTAGTTAAAATCGAAATTTAGGAGATGAAATTTGAAATCCTAAGAAAAACGATTTTCGATAACGTATATCTTCTAAACTAAAAGGGATAGCTATCAGCGGTTTGATGCTTAGGAAAGATTCGTACGGTGCCCTGAATGCGAGTCACTTTTGCCGCTAGCTTTGTAATATACCCCGAATACAAGTCACTTCTACCGCTACCCTCGTACGGTGCCCCGAACACGAGTCACTTGTACCGCTAGCTTCCTACAGTGCCCTGAATGGGAGTCACTTTTACCGCTAGCTTCGTACGGTACCCCGAATACGAAATAAACCAATAATATTCCACTCCTGTTACTACTTTCGTCTCATTCTCTCGCAGTGCAGTGTTTTGAAGGTTTCACTTCTACCGCGTGAAAACACATGATTTTTTTTAATAAAATTATGTTGAGTTAAGTTTAGTTATGTTACAATAACGTTTTTCAGTTATAATTTCAATTCAGATATTTTTATTACCGTGGAAAATTGATTTTTTGAATTTTTTGCAACCGGAAGGAATTTAATGATGTTTGGCAGTGCGCGCCCTTTTTTCGCACCCTTTGTCGTTGTTGATTAGCGCCGATTGTCCGTGATTGCACCCTCTGTCGATGCGCCAATGTTTACATACCAATCAGGCCGGATTAGAAACCGGGGACACTCGGCTGGTTCCCTTTTGCGAATCGAATGTAATCAAACGCATTACACACTGTGAGATGCGTGACATTTGCGGCACGAGTTAAACTTCATAAAGCGCTATTTGGAGTAGTAGGATTATAACGGGTGCGATTGTGAAGTGTGCAGAAGAGGAAATGTTAGGAGGATGAAAGTGATCCATCATATCGGGGGACAGTTGGTGGGAAGTTCACGATGATGTGCTAATTATAGTAATTATTTACAAAATGTTGAATTTCGAATACGATTAAAAGTTTGAAACGCGATAACTTTGGTTATTATCAAAGTAAATTGGTGAATAAAATGCTATGTTATAGATAATTTAATTGACTATTGATTACTGAAAAGCAAAAGTTGATAAATATCATAGTTTTTACGTAAATAAATTTTTAGTAAAACTTTGTATTATTTAAACGTTTTTCTATCTTAGAAATAATTCAACTTCAAAACGCGATAACTTTGGTTATTATTAAAGTAAATTGGTGAATAAAATGCTATATCATAGATAATTTAATTGAATATTGATTAGTGAAAAGAAAAAGTTGACAATTGTCATAGTTTTTACGTAATTAAATTTTAAGTAAAACTTTGCAATTATTTTTAAACGATTTTCTTTCTTAAAAATAATCCAACTTCAAAACGCGATAACTTTTGTTATTATTATCATACAATATTGAATAAAAAGTACCAAGATAGAGAATTTAACTGACTATCTACTAATAAAAACAAAAAGTCGATAAATATTATACTTTTTGAGTAATTAAATTTTTACTAAAACTTTGCAATTATTTTCGGACACAAAAAAAACTTAAAAACATGAAATATTCAATCAATTTTCTTTCTGATCCCGAATCAATTTGCCATAAAAGCAAGTAGTAATCATGCTGCGTAATAATCCATCAATATATGCAAATGTAAAACCGCGAGCGTATTATATTATGGAATCAATTAAAACGCGACTAATTATAGCATCGTGCGATCGCTGCAGCGCCGCACCGCCTCGTCATTTATAAATACATTAACGATGTGTGCCTAATTATTGCTGCTAAGATTGATTGCGCGTTAATCCGCGCATCAATTACATTTCGTCGTGTCAAACATCCAGCGCTCCAGCTTACATCAATTACACGCGAGGCGCTTCAGGTATTAAACGACTTCGCGCGACTAATATGGCGCTAATCAATATCTGCGCAAATTGTATTCGGTTGGAACATGACAGCGTCATGTCATCAGGATTGTCCTGACTCATGGAGGTGCTTAAATGAAAGTATTATAGTGAAAAATCACAAAAATAAAAATTTAAAAATGAAAATTTGTTTTGTTTTGTCAATTACAGGTAAAGTTTAATTAATATTAGAATTTTTAAAAGTGTATCTTATAGTTTAAGATCTGATCTATCATTTAAAATAAAAATGAAGTTGTTATCACTGTTAGTTTTTGATTTATCACGATTTTAACTTTGGCGCACCCTTCTGCGCATGAAAATTCAAAGTATAAGTTTTTCCGGTACTACGGGAAAACTGTTACACTCACAATTTTCATTTTAGGCACATTAAATGTCCTTTAAATTACCTTTCGAATGACACCTTGTTCAATATTCTACGATGTTAAATAACGGTGTTATCCACAAATAAAAAACATACAAAAATAAATTATGCGTAACTATGATAATAATAGTAATTATTCAATTTTGACTTAGTTTCTAGCGTATTCCACACATCGGATTGTGCAATAGATTCATACATTCAATATTCCATATCAGCAGTCGCATTTTTACAACACATGCTGGTAGTGTTTCACCAGCGCACCGCGTTTCTCCAGAACTTTGCTACAAACAAAACACAGACAAACACAGCGCAGACAAACGACAATAACCTTTTATTATTGATTTATTTTTGCGTTCGCCTCCTGAGAGCGTATACAAATCGCATCGCTGGCGCATAATTTATGCGCGCTCGAAAAATTTGCTTTTAAAATGTTGCCATTGCACGCGCGCGATAAACTCGCGCGAATTCCATAAATCGCTGAATTTATCATTTCGTACCGGAACACGCGTAGATTTATGCGCATCTTAATGGAAGTCATGCAACAACGCTCGACGCGCGATCAATGCGCGAGATTCGCGCAATGCGTACGCGAAATATTCAGACGAGAAACGCATTCAAATTGATTTTTTGAAAATTCTCGCTGCTTGATAAGGTGATAACTTTAATGGAATAGACGTCACTCTGGAGTTAAGTGAATAATAATCTAACAATAGTGAATAATTAATTTTATATCGCAGGGAGAAATTCAGAAAATATTGGGTTTTGGAGTTATTCAAGTTCAAGACGAGATAACTTTGGTTGTTTTTATCGTAAATTGTTAAATATAATCTCATAAGATAAAGAATTTAATTAACTATCAACCAACAAAAACAGAATGTTGTTAACTTTGGTAATTTTTGCGTAATAAAATTTTTAGTAAAATTTTGCAATTATTTTTGTACGTTTTCAAATCTTAGAAATAATTCAACTTCAAATTGCAATAACTTTGGTTATTATTATCGTAAATGTTTAAATAAAATATCATAAGATAGAGAATTTAATGGACTATCGACTAGTAAAAACAGAAAATGGTTAGCTTTGATAGTTTTTGTGTAATTAAATTTTTAGTAAAATATTGCAATTATTTTTGGACATCTCGTTTTTATAGCTTAGAAATAATTCAATTTCAAATCGCAAAAACTTTGGTAATTATTATCGTAAATTAATAAATAAAATGTCATAAGATAGAGAATTTAATGGACTAGCGACTAACAAAAACAAAAAATTGATAACTTTGATACTTTTGAAGTAATTTAATTTTTATTGAAATTTTGCGAAAAAAAAATTCAATTTTTCTTTTAAAAATCAAAAAAGACTAAAATATTCAATTATTTCTTTTTTATCACGTTAACTTAAGTGAATAATAACATAACAATACTTAATAATTAATACCATATCATAAACATGATTGAATGATTTATCTGTGATTAATTTATGAGCGAAGTCAGCGTGAACAATCCGGACAAAATTGCGCGTGAAAGCGCAGCAATATATCCCGCACGAAATTAACTTGAGATCTCCCGCACGATCTTATAACGCGAGTATTGTGTTGAACTTGTTGAGAGGCGCAGCAATAAAATGCGTTCGTAATTACACAACCGCATTGCACTGCTTGCATGCGCGCGCGAAAAATGCGCGTATCGATAAAATAGACGCATCTCAATACTTCAATAACTTTACGACCGGATACGTGTTAGAAGACTCTGCGCAGTAGTTCGTTAATCTGCGCACGGCGACCGCGCGTGCATTACTTTTTCGCACTCCGAATTCCAGATGCTTGTCGCGGCCTCTAACGACGCCGAGTGCGGATTGTAAAAGAAGAAATATGGCGCATTACGACGCCTGCCTCGCGTATCAATGTTTCAGGAATAATAATAAAGATTACGCATGATTTACGAGC